ACTTCCAATAATTTGTGTCGACATTTGATATTCTAATTACGCTGGGAACTAATGTCAGCCCGGCTCAGTTGGTAGCGTCCTTACCTCCTGGTCAGAAGGTTGTGGCTTCGAGCTCCATCTCAGGACCTGAGCTTGTAGTCTCTAGTAGGTGTCTGCATTGTCAGAGGTGCAGTTTTTCAGATGAATCATCAAAACAAAGTCCTGAAAACAGCTTAACATAACATAACATAACATGTAGGAGCAGGAGTAGGCCATTCGGTCCTTCGAGCCATTCAATCGTGGCTGATCTTCTAATCTAACTCCAGTTAATAACCTGACCCTGCCTTATCCCCATATCCCTTAATCCCTTTTGCAATAAGAAATCTATCTATCTCTTGAATACGTTTAAGGACTGAGTGTCAACAGCCCTTTGGGGTAGTGAGTTCCATTCATTCACCGCCCTTTGAGTGAAGAAGTTCTTCCTCAACTCAGTGCGAAAGGGCTGCCTCTGATTTTAAGGTTGTGACCCCTGGTTTTAGTTTCTCCAACCGGGGGACACAATCTCCCACTATCTACTCTATCATGTCCTTTGATGATCTTATGGGTTTCTATAAGATCCCCTCTAATTCTTCTATATTCTAGAGAATATAGGCCCAAATTGGTCAGCCTATCCTCATAACTCATCCCCTTCATCCCTGGTACTAACCTAGTAAATCTACGCTGCACCCCCTCCAAGGCAAGTACATCCTTCCTTAAATAAGGAAGCCAAAACTGCACACAGAATTAAATTCATTGCAACATCTGAAAATAATCCAATGCATCAAATGACCTCGTCCTAATAAGTCTTATAACTCTACGGTGGTTTTCAAGTTATATCCGAAAGCCAAGTTGGTTCAACGGGTGGTTTTAGTTTCAACCAGTCCTTGGGTTCATCCAATCGTATAGAAACAACAGTAAAGGAATTCTGGCCAACAGTTACTCTTCATCTGTGTATCTAGACGTGGAATCCTGAGCACTCAGCTCACAAGCGAGAAAACGTTGGGCAAGTTCCCTAACTCCACACGCCTCTGTTTATCTAGTAGTGAGTAGGAACCTGGTTGTTAGTCAATTGGCGGATCGCTTTTCCGGGGATAATAATTAGTTCAAAAAGTATTAATAATTTGGTCACTCAATCCACGATTGTTTGTGGGACACCGCTGTGCGCAATTGGATGCCGATTGCGTTCCGCCCATAAAATATACAGTCAATTCACTTTACAGTGTATTCTGTGAATCGCTTTGAGACGTCTCGAAGACGTGATAAGGCTCTATATCAAGTGCAAGTATTCTTCTTATTATTAAACAAACCCTGGATCTTCCAACAGATATAACACACAGCTGACACACACATTATCCACACGCGATCCAGTAGATGCAAACATTACAATCACAAAAAAACAGATGAGTAATAACTGGGTGATGGCCTTTCACAATGTGCTGAATGAACAAGGTTGAGACTCATGCACGCACGGTAATTTTTCCACTTTCATCTCTCCAAAACACAGGAGCTGTGTGGAACCTCATTCCACAAACCCTGGGAAGAGTTTTGCAGTGCAATTGCTCTGTTAAGATGCTTGACTCCAATATGTCTGCCTAAACAGCAAACCTGGCTGACACCTTACATCTGTCTGCTCGTATTGTCTGCTTTGCATTTGCTTACCAAATTCATTGAACAGATTCCCGAGGTTCTGTCAGGAACATCTAATGTGCAACAGTCACACGAACTGTGAGGTTACAGAATCCATCCTAGGCCAGCAGAGTCAGCCGAGCTCAATTGACCCCTCAGTTTTGAGAGAAAGCTCACCGTGGCTCTTGCTCTTGATCACTATCCAACCCAGCAACAACTTGGATTTGTACAGCGCATTTCTCGCGAGGTAGCGTCTCGGAGCGCTGAACAGTGGTGGAGTTTGATGCCGAGCCTCGGGGTGGTGGTGGGTGGGGGGGAATATGACCGTAGGCATGGTCGAAGAGCAAGGTGTGATCTGAAGATAATAGTAAAAATCCTTGCATTTGATACAGCGCCTTATCACATCTTTGAGACTCAAAGCGCTTCCCAGGATACACTGTAAAGGGAATTGACTGTATATTTTGTGGGCGAAATGCGGCAGCCAACTGCGCACAGCAGTGTCCCACAAACAGGCGTGAATTGAGTGACCAAATAAAAAAAAATTTCAAAGGAATTAATACTCCTGGAAAAGCGATCCGCCAATCGACTAACAACCGGGTTCCTACTTACTGCCAGGTAAACGGAGGTGTGTGAAGTAAGAAAATGTGGCCGATGTTTCGCCCCGCCCGGGAATCGAACCCAGGTCGCTTTCTTGTGAGGCAAGTGCTCTAACCACTGAGCTACAGGACTTCACAAGATGGGCAAGGAGGAAGCGAGTTGGAGGGAACGAGGAAGAGAGTTCCACAGTATCAGGGCGTAATGGCTCACTGATGGAGCGCAGGGGCCGAGTAATGTTCAGCAACTCCATTGACACACTTGTCTGGAAGGTGCAAGCGTGGATGTTGAGTGACGAGTATCAGAGATCAGCTGCGAGCCCCCTGCGATGAAATAGGCTCCCGCGGGAAGGCTGGCCACTTGGCTGAGGCCACTTAAAGCTGGTCAGAAGCTTGTGTAACTAAACCCCAGCAGCAGTACTCTCAATACAGTAAGGGGAACAAGAGGGAGGAAGCAAGAACGGTAGAGACCAATGTAAGCTGTTTGGTGCTGGCCGGGAATCAGCTGTAGTAGCAACGCAGTAAGCGTATAATCCCCACCTCCCCTCCCCTCCTCTCCCGCTGGAAGGACAAAACCAGGGATATAATTTCCTTTCAAGTAACTAACTCCCCCTCCTCCCGTGGTGGTGTTCCCAGTTTGGCTGCTGATGCAGATACCAGTCCTGACTGTACTTGTTGAGAGGAAACGTGTCTGCGGCTGAGCGACTGGCTGCCACGTCACTTGGTGCAGATGACAACTTCAGTCCCGAGAATCAATTACGAAGAAACATGGTTATCACGTTCAAAAGGCCCTCCCAACGCAGAAGCCAGGCCTTCTCGAGATAATGTATTTCACATGTTTGCCCTAGATTCCCCATTCCACAAAGGATCTTATTGCATTTTCCAGAAATGGAGTCCTGTAACTTATTGGTTAGAGCGCTCACTTCGCAAGCGAGAGGACCTGGGTTCAATTCCCCGGGTCAGGGCGAAAAGTTTCCTTCCTCTGTTTGCCTGGCAGTAAATAGGAACCCGGCTGTTAGTCGATTGGCGGATCACTTTTCCAGGGGTAATGATTCCTTCAAAAAAAAAATTGTTTTAAATAATAATTTGATCATTCAATCCATGAATGTCTGTGAGACGCAGCTGTGTGAAATTGGCTGCCACATTTCGCCCACAAAATAGACAGTCACTCAACTTTACAGTATATCCGATGAAATTCTTTGATGAGATGTCTCAAGGATACGATAAGACACTATATGAAATGCAAGAATTATTATTATTGTTGTTATTATGAGTGATGGTCGGGTTCTGAACCTCGGTGAAGCTAGGAAAATCCCGTAAAGTTACCACAACCGGAGCTTCTAGTCGTCAGTCACACATGCCATGTTCTGTCTGTCAAAGGTTGCACACGCCGCGAGCTGAGACGGAAAGGGATCTTTTTAAAAGTTTGGCATGCGACACGTTTAGCAAACTGACACGCTAGTGTGCCCTGGTGGAGACAGCGAGACATCACAGCAGCTCGTGTTCAGCATTCGGAAACCCAAGTTCGCAAGAGGATAATAACAGTGACAATAATAATAATCCTCGCATTTGTTAGAGGGCCTTATCGCGTCGTTCGAGACGTGTCAAAGCGCTTCACAGACTGCACTATAAAGTGAATCGACTTGAATACTTTGATGAATGAAAAAGGCACTTCAACCCACTTGATCTCATTCTTCCTATCGATTTCCCATGACAGCGTCAAGACACTTTTTTTTTTAAAACGAATCCAGTGTCCTGGTCTCTACGCTTCCTTCCTGAGAACGTGTAGCTGTGTCAGCATGACTGAGTTTTGGTAACATTCCCTTTTATTCTTTGGATGGGACAAAACTGAAGCCTCCACTGCCTGTTCAGGTCGACGTTAAAGATTCCCTGGCACTATTCGGAAAGAGAAAGACTGCAAGTCTCAGCGTTGGGGCCTGAATCCACAACCTTCTGACAACCTTCGAGACCGGAGTGCTACCAACTGAGAAGGTGGTGCGGAGAGGCTCTGGAACGGGTGTGGGAACTGCAGTCAATAAATAAAATACAAAGATCGCTCCACCAGTGCGTAGCAAATAATAATGTCCTAACCACGTTCGTCACTCGTCTGCACACATAACAATGCGGATTAAATGGTCACTCTGCTTTGCAGGCACACATCAGTCACTACGTAAATCACTCCACTTCAAAGTAACTCATTGATTGATGCCAAGTTCACCTCGGAGCCTTTTTTTGAAGAGATAACGTGCTGAATCAGTGTCATTTTTCTGGATCTTCGCACCTCCTTGATCTGGTTGACGTTATAAATTTGTCGATTGCTTTTAAAACCCCCAAAACGCAAAACAGTCTGGTGTCTGTGAGTGCCAAGCCCTGAACTCACTCCGTTAGGTTCTCGAGTTCCTGTTCCAATCTCACCTGACAGCCACACGAGAGTTTTCTAAAGCAGCTGCTACAGTGTCGGGCTTGATATGGTGCGTGCCATCCTCTGACAACAGTGTACTGTACGTGGCACCCGCCTGAGCAAGCCTTCACCTTGGCACAACAGGAAGAGAAGCAGCAGGGCACGAGAAGGAAATTACTCGCTCTATGTAAAACAAACTCCGCGGAAAATGAGGCCAATTCAGACACTTGAAGCGCGGAATAAACCGCCAATGTTTTAAGCAATTTACAATGATTGCTTCCAGATTTCGTGATTCATTTGCACATTAAAATTCCCAGTGTTGCCACCCTCCAGAAGCAGTTAAACCAGCACAGGCTTATAGCTTTCATGTATAAAATGTTTTATTAGCTGTATGTGTTGCAGCCAGGGTCATGCAAAAAGCATTTTTTTTTAATAGAAAAATAGAGAAAAGAAACTATTGAATTTGCAAATCTGCCCCAGGCTCAGAAACTGGTTATTTCCCCTCGAGAGCAGGAGAGAAAAGCGAGACAGGCACAAGTCGGTTGCTCAGAGCAGCCGCCTTCAAGCTTGCTAGCTTCGTCACCCGTTCTGTCACCCCACCTGAAGCTGCGAGTCTGTGCTTAGACCAGCCGTGTCCAGTACGTTTGTCACTAACGCGGCTCTGTGCACAGTGCCATGCTGGTAACGCGGGCGTTGAGCCAGTGAAACACCACTCTGAGCCCAGAGCGTGTGCCTGTAACACACAGCTCTATGTCAGGACCCACGTGTGAGGTGAACAGCTGACTGAGTACCAACACCAGGCGCTCAGATTCCGCGATCTCAACAGTGCCATCGGGAGGCCCAATCTCAGTGCCCACAGCACTTGCTGCAGTCCTCAAGACTGGGAAGAACTAGTAATCAGCGAGAGAAAAGAATACACTTTATGAATCAGAGGGGAAGCAAAAAGAGGAAACTCTCCCTTTCGTTTGAAAGGTATGACGACCGGATAATAAATCAATGTAGCACTGATATAATCGACTAACATCGTTAGTGTTAAGATAGCAGAGTGCAACACCCGGTGGGAACTGATCACAGACGTGCCCGGGTCTCACCAGGTTGCACAGTAAAGCACATTATGATTCCAGGAATAAGGCGCAGTGGCAGCAAACTAACAGGATCCCTTTTGTACTCCAGCTGAAGAGAAGGTACAGTTTAGGCAGCTATAGGATGTTACAATTTCCACTAGCAAACCTGCTCTGTACCTGTTCACGGACCTGCAACACAGAACAACAATATAAACACCAGGAACATTTGTATTTGATCCACTGCTGTATCATATTCAAGACTTTGCAAACAAAAACAACAACAAATGACATTTACATAGTGCCTTTCACATCAGATCACATCACAAGGCGCTGGACAGACCGGGATCTGCACCCAAGCTGGTGGTTCAGATCAGGAGGGGTGGAGGGCAATGAGGGTAGAGGTACGAGGGTGACCGAAGGCACGGTCAAAGAGGAGGTTCTTGAGTTGGGTCTTGAAGGAAGCAAGGGAGGAGGCGAGGTGGAGGGACTGTGGGATGGAGCTCCGAATGTGCAGGCAAAGAGACTGAAGGCCCCGCCCCCAATGATGGCAAATGGGGGGCGTGAGCATACCGGAGGTCACTGCGAAAAATACACTTCTCGCTGCTGCTATGTGGGCAAACGTGGCAGCTAATGTGTGCCAGCTACAAGCCAAGAACCAAGAGGATGAGGTGTCAGAAACCTGTGAACATCCTCTCCTAAACGTGCTCACCTGGTCCCCAAAGTGTTACAGAACATGATCCCAAAGGTTAATCATAAAGGGCCATTGAAACGAGGAAGGAACCAGCAGTGAAGAGCTTACCATTGTAGAGCTTACATTCATCGCTGCACCTTACAGGCAGGAGGACACATTGAATGACATATTGCTTTCTCTTGTCTGAGATTGTGAATTGGGGGGTGGTGGTGGTGGGAGGAGGGAGGAGAAAGGGAAGCAAATTGCAAGATATATCAATACGATTGCACAAGTTCGGGGGTCTGAGGGTTAACTCTGAACTCACATAATTTGTAGAAGGGAAGTTCCCAGTTTCCAGCTTGGAGAAGATCAGTTGGTCATTGATTTTGACTTCAAAGCTGCCTAAATTCAAACAAAAGGGAAAGTATTCAAACAGGAACCAGATGCTGAGGCTACATGAAAACACAATGGACCCCATTGAACGACTGCTTCGTCTGTGAGAAAAGTCCACCCTCGCTGGTTCCCCCCACCCTCTCCCCATTACATTCGGATCTTTTCACCCTCCTGCCCCCTTCTTCCACTCCAGCCCCGTATGTACCTTCCCCTCTGCTCACAATCCAACCATCCCATTCACAGAGAGTTCCAAGCTCACAAGCTCACCCCCCACACACTCCCACCCCCCACACACTCCCGACCCCCCAACCCCGCCTACACCCAGCCATCCCCACTATCTCGTGCTCACTCACACCCGTTTGCCGAGATTCACACCTGATCTCCCAGCTTCTCCAGAAATCTCCACAGCGGGAAAGTGGTCTCTTATGCTCTTGACAAGTTCCCGATATTGGGGTCCACACTCTTGGGCACTGCGACAAACACAGCCTCATTAGTGTGCTTCAACAAATTATACAACAACAACAACAAAATTACATTTGTATAGCACCTTTCACGTCGGGAGGACGTCTCGAGGCGCTGGACATACAGAGTTACAGACCCAAGCTGAGGGTCAGGGTGGGGGAGGGGGGAGGGCAGGGTGGGGAAGCAGGGAGATCGAAAGACGGTCAAAGAGTAGGGTCTTGAGGTGGGTCTTGAAGCTGTCGAGGGAGGGGGCGAGATGGAGGGACTGTGGGGTGGAATTCCAGAGGGTGGGGGCAAAGTGGTGGAAGGCCTGCCCGCTGATAGTGGGGCAAGCAAGGCGGGGGACGTGAAGCAGGGTGGAGCCCGCTGAGTGGAGGGAACGAACAGGGTGGTAGGGGGTTCCCCTCTGAGGTCGGAGAGGTATACAATACAAAATCACATTTACACAGCGCCTTTCGTGTCGGGAAGACGTCCTAAGGCGCTGGACAGTCAGGGATTTTGATCCGAGCTGTGGGGTCAGGATCGGGGAGGATGCTCGGTCGAAGAGGAGGGTTTTTGAGAGGCGCCTTGAAGGAGGCAAGGCGAGGGAGCGAGGCGAATGTGGGACAAGCAGGGAGGCATCGAGCCTAGATGTGATGAATGCATGGATAAGGATCTCGACGGCCCGAGGGGTGTAGCGGTGGTGCAGGCCAGCAATATTGCGAAGGTGAGGAAAGGTGGAACAGGCCACGGCACAATCACGTGGCTTGAGGGAGAGATGTGCTTCGAACAAGACACCGAGGTTCCATATTTGCTCGGTGAGGTGCAGTCATATGAGGTGCTTCATGTCGTATCCTCGCAGAACAATTATCCCACCAACTTTCAAAGTTATATTCTGACTCTCTCTCTCTCTCTCTCTCTCTCTCGTCGAGCCACCAGACTCTTGAGTTTGACACGCCTCACGAGCAGCAGATTGCCACTACGCTGCCCATGTCGGAACACTTACGTGGGGCAGAATTTAGCTCATTTTCCTGAGCCACCATTCAGGAAAGGCATTAATTTTATTTTGGAATATTATATCTATACAACAGCACCCCTTGCTCATTTTTAAATAGCGCGTCGCCCAGCTCAGCAACTGTTTCACAAGACATTCCCTCTGTTGTCCTCTCCCACCTATTATTCTCTAGCAACTGAAAAGCCAGCCAGAAATGTGCTACGAGACAATAAGACAAAGAGCTGACTAGGTTGGCTAACTTCCCTGGTTTCTCCGCCTTGCTCCTGGTGCTCCAGCACACCTTGCCTCACATATTACGAAGGGAGTGAGAACCTGTTCTTCCAACATTACTTAAAAAAAAACCAACACAAGTTACTAATCCACTGAGGAGGGAGTGGCCCTCTTATTTTTGCGCTGTCAAATGCAAGCAAAACATCCCTTGCACAACATGTTATACCAGCACGCGAGCATGAAATAACAATTCTTACATTTGGTCTGCCTAGCACGTCGGGAGGAGTCTGTCTCAAAGCTGGATGTAATAATAATAACCCTTGCATTTGATATAGCGCGTTATCACGTCTTCGAGACGTCTCAAAGCGTTTCACAGGATACACTGGAAAGTTAATTGCCTGTATATTTTGTGGGAAAAACGCGGCAGCCAATTTGCGCACAGCAGCGTCCCCACAAACAGTCATGGATTGGGTGACCAAATTATTATTTTTTTAAAAAGGGTTTATCATCCCCAGAAAAGCGATCCCATTGACGACTAACTGCCAAGTACCTACTTACTGCGAGGTACGCAGAGGCTTTTGGAGTGTAAGATTATATTTGTGATACTTTTTAAGGTTTTTAATTAGTCTTTATATACTTTTTAGAATGTAACCAAACACTTAAAAGTGTTTTAGTTACCAGGACATGGACAAGGTTGCTTGTTTTAATGACTCGCTTAGGGCCCCTGATAAGATACATGTGGTAATCAGGGTTTGCAAAGTCACTTGACCCTGGCTGAGGTCTGATATCATATCTTCTTGGGAAGGTGGTCACTCCTCTGAGCAAATTGATCATGTCGTTGAGCGCAGATACGTAACAAGTGGCCTCAGAGGGAGAAGCACATTTGTGGACGGACATCTGTTTATTTCAACTCTTAAGAAACGCAGGAGATGATAGAATCCTTTCCCCCCCAAAAAAAGCTGTCGATCTCTCTTTCTCCTTATCAGTTCTTTTTTCCAGAAAATATCAATATGGCTGGCAGCTTGGGAAAGCAAGATGTAACTTTGCAATAGTTGGAATTATCGTAGGAGGAGCAGTTGGGAGGCAGCTGGTGGTCAACCGCTTCCCCAATGGAATTGGATAATATCGGTTTCTTACTGCTTTAAGGTAACTTAACGATACAATAATTGTATGTGTTAAAGCATTAACCTTTGAATTGTATGTGATGTTAAAAGATCAGTAATCCACACCACTTGTATTGGGTAAAGTCTCTGCCTTACGGTGAACCTTACAAGAGTAAGGAAATTTTGCCCAAGTGGGACTTGAACCCAACAATCTTTTGACTCGGATCAGATTTCCGGGGTGGGGGGGGGTAACACACATCCCAACTCCTTCCACCCCCCACCCCACCCACCCACCCACACTCCCACCCCACATATTCCCCTTCCGCCCGCATTCCAGATACTCCTCACACGCACGCGTTCTCTCGCACACACATGGCGGAGACGTCACCTGCCCCCCCCCCCCACCCCACACAAAGGGTCCCAGGCTGCCCTCACACTGACCCGTATTCCACATGCACCTTCACCACCATCGTCTCGTCCTCTTCGGCTCCCTCAGCAACACGGCGTAGATCATGACCACAGCTCGTGACCACAGATGGAAACCACCTCCCCCAGTCCCTCCCCCTCCTCTCCCAGCCCCTCCATACGCACACCCCTCCACAGACTTTACCCTCAACACCCCCGTCCTCCCCGTCCACCCACCTCCACACATTCACATCCCCAAACACCCTCATTCCACATACACCCAGTCCCCAACCACCCCCTCACTCCCGTTCCCCAACCACCCTCTCACTCCACATACACCCACCCCCACGCTCACCCACCCTGCCCCAGCACACTCACTCACCCCCACTTCACACACTCCTCAAACACCTCTCCCCACACACCTCCACACCTGTGGAGTGCCTGACTACTAAAGGGTTGCATTTTAAAGTGGGGGGGGGGGATGGTCTTTTTGAAATTATATATTATTGCACCATTTCTATTCGGGGTTAAGGTTCCCAGAAGCGATCTGTCTTCTGAGACCTGCTCTCATGCCTCTAGATGTCACTCTTGTACTTCACTCATTGCAGCTCACGCTCCCTTTTCGCAGGTCCCACGTGATTGCTGGAAATCTGGAATTACAAACCCGAAACGCACAACTTCAGCCCCTGAATGAGTGCGAGAGACAGAAGAAGCCGCATCTGCCCTACCATCGGCGGGTGGGCTTCCAGTCGTTCTGCTCCTCCCCACTCTTTGGTACTCCTCTCGTTGTCTCACCGACTCACATCCTCCCTCTTCTCTTTCAAGGCTCGTCTCAAAACGGACGTGTTTGACGCACTTTGAGGCATTTTTGGAAATCCTTAAGCATGGTACTGGTCATGGGCTTCTGTGTATGTATATCAGACACCCAGCTGACTGATAAAAAATATCTCAGTTTCATAATGTCTCAACTGAAGGACGCACTTCTGACAAACCTCCAAGCACTACATTATTTATTTACTCATTTTTAAAAGAGAAAAATAATAAAACCAAAATTGCAAATTCGCCTTCATCTGAGAAACTGGTTCTTTTCCTTTTTCATAATTTAACCATTGAGTTTTTAGTTAAAATATTCATCAACAGAACTGGATTCCTCAGACTCGACAAGTTGGCATTTCCAGCCTGTGAACAACTCTTTTGCAAAGAAATAGCCACTGCGCCTACTGGAAGTTCTCGGCGAGGGAGTATCATAATTACATTTGTATAGCACCTTTCGTGTTGGGAGGAAAGACAAGCGAATAAGCCCAGGAAAAGAAGGAACAGTTGATATTCTGATAAATGTAATGAGCTCAGTTAGAAATAAAGCTGGAGAACGTAACAGTTAAGTTTGCTAGTCACTAACACAGCTCTGTGCACAGTGCCATGCTGGTAACGCAGGTGTTAGCCAATGAAACACCACTCTGTGCCCAGAGCGTGTGCCTGTAACACACAACTCTATGTCAGGACCCACGTGTGAGGTGAACAGCTGACTGAGTACCAACACCAGGCGCTCAGATTCCGTGATCTCAACAGTGCCATCGGGAGGCCCAATCTCAGTGCCCACAGCACTTGCTGCAGTCCTCAAGACTGCACAGCTCAGGGAAGAACTAGTAATCAGTGAGAGAAAAGAATACACGTTATGAGTAGAGGGAAGGAAAAAGAGGAAACTCTCCCTTTCGTTTGAAAGGTATGACGACTGGATAATAAATCAATGTAGCACTGATATAATCGACTAACATCATTAGTTTTAAGATAGCAGAGTGCAAGACCCGGTGGGAACTGATCACAGACGTGCCCAGGTCTCACCAGGTTGCACAGTAAAGCACATTACGATTCCAGGAATAAGGCGCAGTGGCAGCAAACTAACAGGATCCCTTTTGTACTCCAGCTGAAGAGAAGGTACAGTTTGGGCAGCTACAGGATGACACAAGGAGGACGGCTGTTCTCGATTTTCTGCAATTCCTCGCCATTGTTGGCTTTCTGTACTGCTTCAGAAATCTGCAACACAGAACAACAGTTTAAATACTTACTTTTTGGTCATATTCGACACTTCGGAAAACACTTCTCACTGTTGCTATGTTGCTACACTTTACAGTGAATTCTGTGAAATGCTTTAAGACATCCTCCCGACATGAAAGGCGCTGTGCCAAATGTAAGGATTATTACGACTTAATTTGCGACAGGGCAAATATCAAGAGCGATAGCAAGCGGTTGATAGAAGTTTTGTGCCTTTGAGGGGCAGATTGGTGTACATTCATTTTCTAAGGACAGAATTTACGCAGATATCCATGCTTTTACATGCACTTTGAGTAAGTACAGACTGACTAGGAAATGGAAGCTCTGTCAAACACACAATTAGATACCGGTACCTTTTGGGATGGCACACATCCCTGTCTCCAAAGTGTTACAGAACATGACCCCAAAGGTCAATCATTTAGGGCCACGAGGAAGTAAACAGCAGTGAAGGAAAGATGCACATCACAAGGGTGGAACATCTTTGCAGATGCATAAAATGATGCTCAGACGATTCCATTAAAAAGCTTACATTCATAACTGCACCTTACATGCGGGAGGACATACTGAATGAAGCGCTTGCTCTGAACTCTGAACTCACATCATTTTCATAAGGGAAGCCCCCAGTTTCCAGCTTGGAGAAAATCAGTTGGCCATTGATTTCGATTTCAAAGCTGCCTAAATTCAAACAAGAGAAACTATTCAAACAGGCACCAGATGCTGAGGCTGCATGAAAACACAATGGACCCCATTGAACGACTGCTTCGTCAGTGGGAAAATTTCGCCCTCACGCACCCCCCCCCCCACGCTCTTACCTCACCCACATCTCCTCACCCTCACAACAGTGCCCCCCCCCATCCCCACGCTCACCCAGCTCTGCCCCATTCATCCACGCTCCCCTTTGCTCACAACCCTCCCACAACAGAGTTCCAGGCTCAACCCCAACGCCCAACCACCCCCAACCCGTCTATCCCCATCCACTATTTATCCCATGCTCGGTCACGCGCACGTTTGCTGATCTTCATACCTGTTCTCCCAACTTTTCCAGAAACATCCGCATCAGGAAACTCATCTTTTATGACGATGGCAAGTTTCTGATAGCGGGGCTCGTAGCCTCAGGCACCACTGCAATAAACACAAGATCTCATTAGTGTGCTTCACGGCATCCCAGCACAACAATTATCTGGTTGTTGTCAAGTTATATTCTGGATTTCTCTCGTCGATCCACGAGACTCTTGAGCTTGACGCAGTTCCTGAGCAGCAGATTAATAATAAAATAATAATAACCATCCTTGTATTTGGTATAGCGCCTTATCACATCTTCGAGACGTCTCAAAACTCACCACAAAATATACCGTAAAGTGAATTGACTGTATGTTTTGTAGGCAAGACGCAGCAGATCGCTGCAGTCCTGTCCGTACCTGAAAATCTATGTGGGGACACAATTAAGCTAATTTTCCTATGCCACCACTCAGAAAGCACATACTCTTTTTTAATATATATTACTCTAGATCTATACATCCACACATTTTTATCTTTGGATAGCACATTGCCCACCTAGCCAAGACAGCTCACAGCCCTGAGGTGGGGCAGTAAACACATTTGTGTGTTCTGCATTGGCCTTAGTACCTCTGGCTTACTACCAAATTCAGGGCACAAAATAGCTACCGTGAGGCCTGATACTGTGCAGAACTATTTTGAATCATTCAACAGGAGGGAGCGTCAAGGATCAGCCTGTGGCTCTCATTCCTATCGTCTGTCCCTCTACTCCTCAAACATCGTATTAACATGCTAGGAGTACAACTGAAAATATCAACAACAGTAACAACAAACTGCATTTGTCCAGCGCCTTTCACGGCAGGAGGACATCCCAAGGGGCTGAGAAAGAGCATGGTGGTGTTTATTTGAGTTTCAATAAAAAACAGTATCTTTGCTAATTTTGCTCCTTCAATGCCAGGCTTATTATTAAGAAGAAAGCAACATTTCAAAGGACAACATTCCCCCTTTGCAGCGACAGATCTTAAAATATTCCAATGGAATCAGTGCTCTGTCAATACACACAAGTTTTGGTTTCATGGGAATTAAAGATTTATTTTCCATGTACAGTATTTCCTGGCTCCCTCGGGAGCTCTTTTACCTCAAGGAGTTGGTGGTAAAAGACAATTTATATTACATTAGCAAAATTACAGATGTCATGGAAACTAATAAATAGCATCAGGCTGTTGACAGGATTAGGTAGAGTGGAAAAGTAACTAGTACAGAAGAATTGCCTCGAGTTTCAACCCCGTCCCCATTGCGTGTCAATGATTGATTTCCATTTGATACTCTCCTCACCTCAGGAACTCAGAACAGCAGCGAATAATTGACTGTGCATTTTGTGAACGAAATGCCGCAGTCAGTTGCACACAGCAATGTCCCACAAACAGTTGTGGATTGAGTGACCAATTGTTTTTGAAAAAAATATTACCCCCGGTGATAAATTAAATGGTTCTCTAATCCCATTCAATCAATATGACAGTCTTACCCACTTCTGTCAACTTCTATTATTAAATTCGCATCGATGGGGATTGGTTGAGCTTCCATGACATATCTAATATTTCACACAATATTCTGATATTCAAGCGCTCTGACTCACTGCCCTGTGTGGAGGACGCTATACAAGTGCAAGTTGTTGTTGTTGTATTCCCTCGGTTGTCCTCTCCCACCTATTCCCTAACAACTGGAAAGCCAGCCATAAAGTGTTAGGAGATAATAAGACAAAGAGCTAATTAGGTTGGTTCACTTCACTGGTATCTCCTCCCTACTCCTGTTTTTTTTAAGGGTTCATCATCCCCGGAAAAGCGATCCGCCAATTGACTAAAAAAAACAGGTTCCACTTACTGCCAGGAAAACAGAGTCATTTGGAGTAAGGAAATTTGCCCTACATTCTTGCCCGAAGTTCTGTAAAGTGTGGTTTGTGGACCAATGTGGCACACAATTTACGCAAGCAACGTCCCACAAACAGGGCGTGAGGAGGGGGGCGCTGGCAAGGACACCGGGAGAAACCGGGGATGGTCTTATTGAAATTATATAATATATTATTATTGCAGTTTCTATTCGGGGTTAAGATTCTTTTCGAACAGTATCAAAGGATCTTTAACATCCAACTGAACAGCCAGATGGGGTCTCGATTTACCCTGTGGTCCAAAGAGATGGAGGGAGTGAGTGAAGGAGTGAGGGAGAGAGAGAGGGAGTGAGCAAGGGAGGAAACTAGAGAGTGAGAAAGCTAGGGAGTGAGGGAGAGAGTGAAGGAGTGAGGGAGAGGGGGAGTGAGTGAGTGTGAGAGGAAGGAGGAAGTTAGGGAGTGAGAGTGTAAGTGAGTGAAGGAGTGGGGGGAGAGGGAGGGGGTGAGTGAGAGGAAGGGAGAGAGTGAGAGGGAGGGAATGAGTGAAAAAGAGAGGGAGCGAGGAAAGGAACGAGGCAGGGAGAGAGGGAGAGGGGGAGAGAGAGAGAGGGAGAGAGGGAGTGAGGGAGAGGGAGTGAGGGAGAGAGTGAGAGGGAGGGAGTGATAAAGAGAGGGAGAGAGGAAAGGAATGAGGCAGGGAGAGAGGGAGTGAGGGAAAGGGAATGAGGGAGAGGGGGAGAGAGAGAGAGAGAGGGAATCAGGGAGAGAGGGAGTGGGAGAGAGGGAGTGAGGGAGAGGGAGGGAGGGAAGGAGAGGGAGTGAGGGAGAGAGAGAGTGAGTGATAAAGAGAGGGAGAGAGGAAACGAATGAGGGAGAGGGAATGAGGGAGAGGGGGAGAGAGGGAATGAGGGAGAGAGAGGGAGTGAGGGAAGGAGAGAGGGAGTGAGTGATAAAGAGAGGGAGAGAGGAAAGAAATGAGGGAGAGGGAGTGAGGGAGGGAAGGAGAGGGGGAGGGAGTGATAAAGAGAGGGAGAGAGGAAAGGAATGAGGGAGAGGGAGTGAGGGAGGGAAGGAGAGGGGGAGGGAGTGATAAAGAGAGGGAGAGAGGAAAGGAATGAGGGAGAGGGAGTGAGGGAGAGGGGGAGAGAGAGAGAGAGAGGGAGAGAGGGAGTGGGAGAGAGGGAATGAGGGAGAGAGGGAGAGGGAGGGAAGGAGAGGGCGAGGCGTAGAGGCAAAGGTAAGGGTGGGGCAGGAGAGCCAAAGGCTGTGGCGGCTGCAGGGCCCGGGCCTGGCGTCCGCGCGCGCGCGCTCTCTCTCCCTCCCTCTGACACTCCCTCTCTCTCTCACTCACTCACACACACACACACACACACACACACAGAGAGTGAGAGCCCCACAGGACCCACTGACACTGACCAATATTCCACGAACACCTTCAGCCCCATCGCCTCGTCCTCTGCGCCGCTCCCGCCTCAGCCTCAGCCACAGCCACAGCGCGCAGCACGTGACCACAGCGCGCGGGGACACCGCCGGAAACTCCGTCAGCGCTGACTGAGCGGACACTGCCCACAGCCCCGCCCACAGCGCCGCCTCCTCCCATAGCCCCGCCCCCGCCCCTCTCGGCCCCGCCCACAGCCCCGCCCCCGCCCCTCTCGGCCCCGCCCACAGCCCCGCCCCTCCCGCCCACAGCCCCGCCTCCTCCAAGCCCCGCCTCCTCCAGCAGCCCGCCCACAGCCCCGCCCCTCTCGGCCCCGCCCACAGCCCCGCATGACTATACACTGTACACACCCCACCCTCAACAACCCCCCCTCACCCCCACACACACCCCCACCCACACACACACCCACCTCTACCCACCCCACACAAACCCACCGCAACACACCCAACCCCCACCCACACACCCACACACACCTACACACACCCACCCCCACACACCTCCATCCCCCCACACACCCACACACACCCACCGCAACACACCCAACCCCCCACCCACCTACACACCCCCACCCCCACCCCCACTCCCGCACACACCCACACCCACCCACACACCCACCTCCACACACCCCCACCCACACACACCCCCACACACCTCCACACACATACTCCCCCAAACACCCCCACCCCACACACCCCCACACACCCACCCCACACACCCCCCCACTCCACATACACCCCCCACACACCCACTCCCCAAACACCCCCTCACTCCACATACACCCCCCATACACCCACTGCCCAAACACCCCTCACTCCACATACACCCCCATACACCCACTGCCCAAACACCCCTCACTCCACATACACCCCCATACACCCACTGCCCAAACACCCCTCACTCCACATACACCCCCATACACCCACTGCCCAAACACTCGCTCACTCCACATACACCCCCATACACCCACTGCCCAAACACCCCCTCACTCCACATACACCCCCATACACCCACTGCCCAAACACTCGCTCACTCCACATACACCCCCATACACCCACTGCCCAAACACCCCTCACTCCACATACACCCCCATACACCCACTGCCCAAACACCCCCTCACTCCACATACACCCCACCCCTGCCCAAACCCCCCCTCACTCCACATACACCCCCATACACCCACTGCCCAAACACCCCCTCACTCCACATACACCCCATACACCCACTGCCCAAACACCCCCTCACTCCACATACACCCCCATACACCCACTGCCCAAACACCCCCTCACTCCACATACACCCCCATACACCCACTGCCCAAACACCCCCTCACTCCACATACACCCCCATACACCCAATGCCCAAACACCCCCTCACTCCACATACACCCCAGCTCCACCCCCCCCCCAATACACACACTTTCCCCATACACGCACACCTCCATACTCAACCAATATCAACGCACACTCACCCCACACACACGCGCGCACACCGCACCCCCCCACCCAGCCCGATTCACGCACTCCTCAAACACCCTTCCCCACACACCTCCACACCTGACTACTCCACGCCTGTGGAGTGCCTGACCACTAAAGGGTTACATTTTAAAGTTGGGGGGATGGTCTTATTGAAATGATATAATATATTATTGCAGTGTCTATTCGGGGTTAAGGTTCCCAGAAGCGATCTGTCTTCTGAGACCTGCTCTCATGCCTCTAGATGTCACTCTTGTACTTCACTCACTGCAGCTCACGCTCCCTTTTCGCAGGTCCCACGTGATTGCTGGAAATCTGGAATTACAAACCCGAAACGCACAACTTCAGCCCCTGAATGAGTGCGAGAGACAGAAGAAGCCGCATCTGCCCTACCATCGGCGGGTGGGCTTCCAGTCGTTCTGCGCCCCCACCCCCCCAACCACTCCGCTCCTTGGAACTCTGTCTCGGTGTCCCTCCGACTCACATCCTCCCTCTTCTCTTTCAAGGCTCGTCTCAAAACGTACCTTTTGGACCGCACTTTGAGTCATCTTTGGAAAATCTTAATCATAGGTTTCTGTATGTATCAGACACCCAACTGACTGATAAAAAAAAGACTTCAGTTTCATCACGTCTTAACTGAAGGACGCACCTCTGACAAACCTCCCAGCACTACACTAGAGCGTCAGGCTAGACTCTGAGACTTGAAGTGGGGCTTGAACCCATAATAATAACCCTTGCATTTGAGCTAGCGCCTTATCGTGTCGTTGAAACGTCTCAAAGCGCTTCACAGAACCCCTGATCCAAAGGCAAGAGTGCTACCCACTCAGCAAAGCTGACACCTGTTATGGGAGAGTGATGGCAGGGTTCATTTCAATTACCAAATGTCAAATTTACAGCTCAAGTTGGTTAGGAGGTGTTCATTCCATCTGCCGTGTTGTACCTGTGAGCTGCCTTTGGGCATAAACCCACTGGAATTTAATTTACCAGAGAAACTGGAATAAATTGTAGAAATATCCTTTCCATAAATACATTGCGATTAAAAAAAAACTCCCTGAGTTTTGCAGGCCAGGTTTTAGGTTCTTGTCACATTGTGTCTTTTATCTCAACTCTTCTCCTGAGACTGTTTTTCTACACTTTTCCTTCTGAGGTAGAAGTCCTTTGATACCCTTGACCACTCTATCGTTCTCCACCGCTTCTCCTCTCTGCTCCACCTCTGTGCTCTCCTGGTTTCATTCCTGCCTATCCCAGCATCTCTGCTTTATTTCTTGTCCTCCCACCTCCGCATAGTCACTTGCGGTGTTCCTCCTCCTTGGTCCTCTTTTTATAAGTGTCAGCGTTGAGGACCAGGTGTCAACCTGACTCCAGTGTTGGCGCTCCTGCCTCTTGTGTTGGAAAGTTATCGGTTCAAGTCCCATATCCGTACTTTGAACTCTTAGTCCAAGCTGACACTCTAATACAGAGTTGTGAGTGTGACGCAGTGTTGGAGGAGACCTTTTCCAGATGGGTCATTAAACTGAGTAACTGGTGGTGTCTGTCTTGCAACAGTATTTGTGCTATGTTTCAGTAAAGGATTGCGAAGCTGTGCCTTTTAACAGTATCTAACGGCAGCACAGATATAAAACTATGGAAGTAATATTGACCTTGAACAAGACCCCGGTTGTAATCTTGTTGTTGTTGTTGTCATTGTTGGTTGGGTTCCAGTTGGAAGCCTCATTGTAGGAAGGATAGAAAAGGTGCAGGGAGGGAATGTCTGAGTTCTCACTCCTCCGTAATTGAATCTATTTTTACATCGTTGCAATTGTACCCTAACCTAGCCATCTAGCTCCTATTTCCAAGTGACGGGTGCACTATGCCTCGTATCCAATTGCAGTTCTATGACTGAGTGTCCCATGTTCTGGGGTCAGGAAGCAAGTGGGTAGCAATGCATAGTCATGGTCTGCTCACATTCCATTCCAATCAGTACGGGCACGGTGGGAGGGGAGCGCTGCTGCTCTATGCAATGTGCAACCGTCTTGAAATATATAGCTTTAATGTAAACAGATTAAACTGCAATGAAAGGGAATCTGGTGCAGACTCGGGCCTTATTTTTAATCAAGTGGAGGACTGTGATAGTGTTTTTCAATCAATCAATTAATCAATCAATCAATCAATCAATCCCCTTATGAAATTTTCAAGTTCAACAGTTCTATCTCTCCGTCTTTCTCTCTGTTTCCCCTATGTTCCCTTTCTCGCTTTGTCTCTCTCTTTCTCTCTCTCTCTCCATCATTCCCTTCCTCGCTTCATCACTTCATCCTCGTCTGTCTTTCTCACTCTCTCCATCTGCCTCTTTTATCTTTCTCTGTGTGTTGCGAGGTGAAATGTAATTTGTTGTCGTTGTTGTATAATAAAATAATACTCCTTGTATTTAATATGGCACCTGATCATGTCTTGGGACGTCTCAAAGTCCTTCACTGTAAATATACTGTTAAGTGAACTGATTGTGTATTTTTGTGGGTGAAGTTGTCTATGATGTCCTCCTCTGATTCCACTTTTCCCCCAACCGTGTGTCAGTCACAAATTGGCGCCTCGTCAGCCGAATCAGCTAACAAGGAACAGAAGGATATTGCGAGAAAAACTAGAATCATGTCAAATTACATCCTGCTCCCCTGAGCGAAACAAGTGGCAGTGAAAGTATCCCACAGGCTGCCACAAATAGCCCTGTCAGCAGGAAGCCTGACGTGACAGGCAGGAATTTATACATGTGTGTGTGCAGCTGGTGCTTTGAGGATCAGTTGAACGAGCTGGCTAGCACATTGGGTTAAAGAGCGGTCGTCAATGGTCGAGTTAAGTGTTTGCTGGGGAGAGGGCTAGTTACAGATGGCTCATCACTGTCCCGAGTGTCCAGATATTGGCACTTTACACTGCACGGGTTAGGACCTTCTCACCAGCTTGTATCTGACTTCGGATGGATTTGAAACTTGAAGCTTTTTGATTTAATGCACAGACTGCTTGTGTACTGCAACACCGTTCGCTAAGGGAACACCAAACTGCACCTGTCCGGAGAAACGGGCGACGGAGAAAAAGGATTTAAAAAAAAACTCTCAGGGGATGTCAAGGACTTTCTTTCCGTCCCTGGCCAGCGAGCATCAAACAGGCAACAGAACCTTTCCCTATGGTTCAAGCATTCGACACCACATCAAATAAAACTCCAGATCATTTTAAAATATTTGAAATATCTGAAATGAAGATTGGAAAAGAATTAGAGTTCATAGCGTAGCGAGAAAGATGGCACTGGGAATAATGTTGGCACTAGAATATAGTAATGGAACTAGGGTAGAGCGATGGTACTGGTATACAGTGATGGCATTTGGATAGAGTGATGGTACCTCTCTTGCGAAGTTGGTTAAATGAAGAAGCAGCTACCAGAATTGGGGTGATGGGGAATTTGCACACAGCAATATTCCACAAACAGTTGTGAAATAAATGACCAATATTTTATTTGGAGGATTGTTGACCAGGACATCTGGGAGAAGATCCGCCATCTTTTCGAATAGTGCCATCCATCTGAAAGGCAGATGTGATGGGTAGATTGATCTCACCTGAAAGTCGGTATCTCCAATAGGCCAGGGCACCCCAGGCCTGGGTTAAGAGTTTCGGTCTTTGAGTCCAGAGTCCTGACACA